AGGCATTTGATCAAATACCTGATTTGACTACTTACCTGCGACATATATATCTCCCGAAAATCTAGGTAACATCCACCCCCGATCTCCTGAAAATTTGGCATTAAATTGTCTCGGAACATATTAAAATTATCGGTTTAATGCCCATTGAAATCCGGTAAACCGATAGCACCTGAGTTATCTTTCTCCTTTTGTTTTGTTTGGGGAGTTTCGGTACGATCTCTTGCCTGTGGCATATTCAATTTGATGCGCTGAATTGACACAATGTGATAAGAGAGCTCAATATTCAAGAGCATTGATATTTGCTCAACATTTTTTTTAAAAGTGTTTGCACTCGTGCACAAGTACCTGTGCTGATTTTTTTTCGGTTTTCACCCAGCGATAAAGACACCCGTAAGAGCACTGCGAAAAATGCATATTATATCATTATGAGATGCTTTAATGTCTCAAGTACATGCTAATCTATCAAACGTCACACCTCTATGCCCCCGCCTGAATTGCCACCTGTGCTCAAGACTGGTGTTAAGTGTTGGTGTTGAGCTCCGTTAGGAAGAAAGTAATTAAGTTATTACAGATACAATTATTGATTAAAAATGTGTAATTTAGATATTTAGACCCGGATTATGAGCGGCTAACCAAGGCGCCAGGCGCTATCTCAACAAGGGCGCTGAAATGAGAGGAGAAGAGTAATGATATCTATTGTATTTATCGGACAATTGGACAGTACGAATAGCAAATTATTCAAAAACATTGTCATTCCGCTACTTTCTTTGACAAAAGCACTGCGCCGCGCCTTCATGGAAGGTGTGCTTGACTGTGAGCAACTATTTTAACTCTCCGGGGATCAAATTGCCTATACGATGAAATGGAGGGACTTTGAACGAGTCCGCCGCGACCTGCAACACAGAACGCATGAGCCATTGCGCCACGCCGTTGCGCCTTCATCAAAGGTGTGCTTCAACTTTGAGCAACTATTTGAACTCTCCGGAGATCAAATTGCCTATACGATGAAATGAAGGAACTTTGAACGAGTCCGCCGCGACCTGCAACGCAGAATACTTAACGAGGGTATTTCGCCGCGCCGTTGCGCCTTCATCGAATGTGCGCTTTGACTTCGAGCAACTATTTTAACTCTCCCGGGATCAAATTGCCTATACAATAAAATGAAGGGACTTTAAACGAGTCCGCTGCAACCTACAACGCAGAATTCTGAACGAGGGTATTTCGCCGAGTCGTTGCGCCTTCATCGAAGGTGTATTTCGATTTTGAGTAACTATTTAAACTCTCGGGAGATAGCCAGACGTTAAACACCTTGCTCAGAAGTTACTTTCAATGATATTTGTTGTACAAATTGTGTTCGTATTTAAAAGTTTGAAACGAACGTACATTTGGACTGAATTTTGCAATAAGGGACTACACATATTTCTGACTCATAAATGGACTACATTTTGCAATTAGGAACTACAATACATGGCTCATTTTGGAAACAACATTCGTGCCATTAGTTTCTCTATGCAGATAGGTTTTTTTACGTATGAGCCAAAAATTGTAGTTCATTATTCAAAAATGCAGCCTTTATAAAACACCTATCAGCCTTGAGAAACGGCTGGCTCAATCTAGAAACAACGTTTGTATCATTACTTTCCTTATGTGCATAAGTGTTTTTACGGATGACCCAGAAATTGTTGTTCCTAATGGAAAATTTTCATCCGAAAAATGTGTTGCTCATCGAGGTGTTCTAAATGTGCCGAGTTAGCAGTACTGTTCATGTCTCCTGAAATGTGAAATAGTGGAAAAATAGACTCAAAAATGAGAAAATGTGCCGCCGAATGACGTCATCTGCCGGCATTTCCCATTTAAACACATGTATTTAAGCAGATTAGATAATTGTGTCATATTTCCTGTCATATTTCCCGTCATAATTACTCAATTTAGAGACCAAGCATATCTACATGCTCAGTTCTCTTAGCAGTTTCATTTTTAACATGAAATTGACAAAATATCAGACACCTGCAAATTCTCCATTGCAATGTGAAGGAGAAAGAAAACCTCAGAACACGAGATGAACGCAACGTGGCAGCTAACGTATTGCGGCCTAGTATCGATTCGGTCGATCCACGAATCTGCTGCGGTTTCCGTTTCCCGCGCGTGCAACGTGTTGGGGCTCCCAATCGGGGGGACGTTGACTCATGAACCGTGGCGGGCGTAGCGTCGTCGCGTCGTGCGTGCGTGCCCGTGCAGTTCCCGGTCGAATTGAGATTGAGGCAGGTCGGGACTCCGCCGCAGGACCGCCACCGTTCGAACCCGATTTCGGTTTTCACCGTCAGCCCACTTCGCGGCAGTCCCGGCTCCCGGGGCGACGACCTCGTGACCGACGTGACGTCACTGTCGCCAGGTGATGTCGCCGCTCTGGAGAAGAGATCTGGGATGAAAATTCAGCTTCGCGCAGCCACCCGCGTCTAAGGATTTTTACGTATAGTGCATTCGTGAAATCTGATGACTAACGAGACCAGGGCAGAGACAATATAGATTGCATTTTACAAAAAGGAACCAAGAGCATTCCAATGTTGCTAAGATTGTGCAACTTCTTTTGTCTTGGGGGAAAGACCTAATTATCCATTGACAGTTTCTACCTCTCTCGCCAAATACTGCAAATTTAAGACAAAAATTACCATGTGAATTTCATATTTTTTCACGATTTCAGTAATTTTACTGCAAAGGATGAAAATGCACAATCTTAGCATCATTGCAATGCTTCTGGTTCCTTTTTGTAAAATGCAATCCAATTATGCATCGTTTTTTGGTTCAGCCAAAGCAATGCGTGAAGTATCCGGACAGTCTTGTAGGCGCTATGCGTTTCACGCTGACCGCTACTGACCAAGTGACCGCACTGTTTTTGACGCAATGCGTGACGTATCCATGGAGTCTTGTAGGCACTATGAGTTTCACGCCAACCGCTGCTGACCGCACTACGTTTGACGCAATGCGTGAAGTATTCATGGAGTCTCGTAGGCGCTAATATGTTTCATGCTGACCGGTGCGCCGATAGGGCTTCTCTTTTCCATCTCAAGTTCTCGCCATCGTTGCTCTCTGCGCCGGAGAGGTGTAATAGTGGTGTAGGGATACGATAACCGCATTCAGCAGCTCGTTTTGTTTTTCATTCCCTGCGTTCAAAAAGACACTGAAAGACAAAAGAGGCAATAAAGAGAGTTGAAATTTTCACTCTAGAGTTGCTAGAAAATGTGCTCATGTATAAAATTATTTTTACCGTGGAGAAAATAGAAATATATTCCATTATATTCCAAGAAAACATTCCATTCAATCTACTGCTTACCCACATATTTTTTCCCAATCTTCCCCTGTTTATCTCAAAAAAACCCGATTAGTAAAGAAACTTGGACCAAAAACACTCGTTTAAAAGTATTTACAGCCGTGTGAAAGTTTTGTCCTCTAATAATTCTGTTAACTATTTGCCCATTAGAAATCCGCTACTCCAGTCAGTGATCGCTGGTGATCGAGTTTTCCAGGCAGATAGCGAGAGTTCTGAACTGCCGTGCTAAGAAAGAACGCCGTATGAACATTCGAGAGTTGCCAAATTTCTCCGGATAAAACATGTATTTTTGAAGAAAGTTACGCATATTTCTCCTTGAAATTTTCAGACTTTTTAGAAAAAATGTCGAACAAAACCCTCTTAAAAATTGGAGAAAAAATATTCACAAATTTTCCTGAAAACGCGTGGTTTGTCGAAGGAAATCTGGCAACGCCCGAAAGCTCATACGGCGTTCTTCCTTAGCACGGCAGCGAAGGTGACTAACACTCGACAGCGATTACCGAGCTTAAAAACGGTGTTACAAAGTAAACGAAACTAATCCGTTATTATCAGTTATTATTTACAGCGGCTTAAGAAAGTGAGAGTATTTTAATTTATCAAATGATTGCATTCAATGCAATAATAGTAAAATGTGGAGCAAGTGTCACGAGTTGGATACCTACACTTGTTTGAGGTGATCTTTTAATTATTATTGCGGTTTTGAAGCGGGAAGTTAAAAATGTGCTAATCAATTCGACAGACTGTAACATTGACGTATTTATGCGAAAGGGAACTATATGTATAGGGTTTGCGTGCAATATAGTTCTTTTCAGCATAAATACGTTCAAATTAGAAGCACATTATAGATGTCTCCGCGATATAGTTTTTATTTTTATTTTTGAGCTCTAGTCCATGTGATGCAGCTCTTTCTTTGGCTCCATCAAAAGTTTACGGCAGAGCATTTTCTGTAGTATCCTAGTTTTTAAGTGAGCAATAAGCTATGAACTCAACCTCACGGAATTTTTTCTCAAGTCGTTTCTCATAATGGAATTGCGTGTTTAGTTTATAATATCTCAGCGGGGTATCGTGGAAAGATTTTCTTAATTAGTTTTTCTACGACTCGATAAGACGCATATTCCTCTGAAATTCTGCATTTCAATTTATTGTCGTTTTACCGTTCAGGAATTAAAAGTTTGGGACCTAATAAGAACGATGCTTAAAATATGTTTGTTTTTTTTTTAAAAAAAAAAATATCCCTAAACATAATTTAATGTTTCACGGGAAAACACAGACAACTTTGAAACTTCAAGGAAATGTGAGTCATAATGACTTTAAATGGAAAATAACTTTTAATGGACTCTTAATGAAAAACAATTCTAAAAAAATGTTGAAACAAACTTTACTCTCAACGTGCCAACAGGGTAAGTGTGCATCATATTTTGATGTACCTGTCTCGCAGAGTTTTGGAAGGAAAATTCTTTGCCATGAATGTTATTTAAAAACCTCCCAAAAACTTCGAAAATTCATCCACTTTCGACCCGTAAGTCGGTGAACGTGCCAAAATTCCTCGAATTTGTATTAAAAATTGATTGATTTACTATCTCTCCTCTCGTTTAGGTACTTTGACGAGTAATTTCTTAAGATTTTTTGAGCGACTTTATATTTTATCATTTGTTTTCTGTTTTTGTTTCAGGAACACCTATAGACGAATCACTGTGGGAGTCATCGATAGGTTCAAAAATTAGGACTCTTATTGAAATGTTCAACTTCCAAAGGGATGTTGACATTTATTCGTTACTGTATGTCATTCTCCGATATACGACATCAGATGTAATGGAAGTCTACAATAAAATAGTCGAAGGTAAATTCACAATTCATCTATTCCTTTGTGGTACATAGTGCCTAGTGTCTAGCACCCAGTAACTACACAGAGAAAATTTAGTGTGCTTGGGATATTTTCTGTCAATATAGGAAGTGAAACATGAGCCAACACCCATTTTGTGTTGATTTTGAAACAGTTTGCGTTGAATGTTTCCTATAAATCAGTGAAACAACCGGGAAACCCCAGTGTCACTCTTTATGGTCCGCTTCCCATATTGACTGAACTTATGTGTATTTTTTCTGTCGGTGTACTGCGTAGTAGTTTACCCATTCGACTTCAGCTAAAGCCTGTCTATATGTTTTCTCCTTCACGAATCTTTTCCTAATTATTCCTCTCTAATGTTTGTTTTAAGCGCGCTGTGGGTCTTTTTTTAGTATCTCATATAATCAGGTCAGACTGATTCCATGGCCCATTACATTTTTCACCTACAAATGAGCACTTAAATGCAAACAGTGTCATGTCTCATCCAATGAACCTCTAGACAAGGTATAGATTAAAGCACTATGCAACATATTTTCTCCTCAATATCTCCGTAGAAAACGATTTACACGATAGAAAGTCTGGAAATAAACTGCTGAACAAGTGTTTACAGTCAATATTAGTTAAATTTTAATAATTCAAATGAAGTAATTTGTATTATCAAACATACGTTTGATATGTGTTGATATCTTTTTCAGGATTTTACTTACGAACTTCCTGACGTGCACATTTTTTCATACGAGTATAATCAAAATTTCGAAGTGAAAACATGTGTCTTCTTTTTAGTTCAGACCTTGTCTAGTGGCCAACTAAGGGAAAAATGATAGATTCAATCATACTTCTTGCTGATAATAATGCCAACTTAGTACTTCAGTTCAAATGTTTCATTTCCCCTTTATGTTTTTGCCCTAACCAAAGTGCTTTTTTGAATCGATTGGGAGTGAGAACCATCTCGTCGATCGTCGGGTAATTTCCAATGTTTAATTTTTTTGGGGTGGGGGGCGGGGTACCGTTACGGACATCCGCGAAAACACCCATTAGACCGGAATGGAACGTGACTACTTTGTAAAACTGTCATCGTCATCGACGACTGCTACGTGTCTTTTTACGGAATTGCATCCGATCCAATGTGTTCGGGCTCCACTCTCTTTCCGTCATCCTTCAGCTTATTATCATCGGGAGGCATTTAAATCGAAAGGAACTATTTCTATTCTGACATGAGCCTTGGCATGCTTGTACTCTTATGGATCTCAGGGCTCATGTTAAAACGGATATAATTCCTTTTGATTTAAATGCGTCCATCGATGCACCGGTGCGGTGTGCCCCATCGTTGGAAACGCTCGTCTCTCCCACGAACTCTGATGCGGGAGCAAATCGGCGTTTTTTTACTCGATACATTTTCTTCCGAGTAATTCTAAGCTTGTCATCGTGATGGGTTCACGAATGTGACGGTTCTCCAACTCTTTTTCTCTCCCCTATTTAATACCGTCGAAAGTTTTTGTTCGACGTATTTTTTCTTCAAAATCGTCCAGCTTTACGAAAACAACACAACTTTACGTCTAGCATTACTAGTTTTACATTACGAATCGTCTAGTATTACATTATTTTGAGAATTCGTTGTCTCCCTCACGAAAGAATGTAACTCAAATTTTAATATTGTCAAATTCCTCCTCACCAATTGCACCTTTACCAGAAAAATCTTGGTCTTTTCTAACTGAAAATTCCACTGAATTCACTTCCAGTCTCATGCAAGAATCAGAAAAATTGTGGACAAAAATTGCACAGGTACACCCCCGTAAAAAATTGAATTCTTCGAGTCGATTTTGCAACCTTGGAATTGAGTTACGGTCCTTCGTCCGGGAAACGAAAATTTTGTGGCGTACTTTGCAATATATCGATTGATCTCCCATTTGAACCTGTGGAAAAGGATCGATAAACAAGGTGCTCGCAACGAACACCTTAATAATCGATTCTTTACCATGGCTTCAAATGGGGAAATATCGATTATCGATCATCCACGCTTTGCCACTGATGGGAATGTCTTTGCAGCGAGCGATAGACGTGCATTTTTTCCCTTTCTTTTTTATATTTGTTATTTCTTTTCTACAATTAGACAATCCATAATTGGGTAGATAAATAATATTCGGCGAAAAGGACATTTCCTTTTCATGAGGCAAACTCTTCACTTCCATCGATCCACCTATCAGTAGACGACAGATCGAAAAACTTTTTTTCTGTCGTCTCACATCCACACGGGCGTCAATTGTGTCAGTGCAGAGACAGTCGCACTGACACACGCGAGGAAAGTGCAATCTGATGGCATTCTCATCATTGTTCTTCCGCGCAAGTTCGCCGAACGTTGCCATGTATCCATACAAAATTGAAATTTGGATACGTGTATCGAGGGTTAATATTTATGAGCCTAATCCGACAACGTCGGGAATAATCTATACTATAAGCTCCAAGACCTCCTAATTTTGCGAAACTGGTGACGCTTAGTTCCAGCGTTCTACCGGGCCGATTTTCATGATTTTTGCGGCTATCGACGAGCAATTGTCTGTAGATAAGCCAACTCTTTTCAGATTTTCAAAATATGGCCCAGGTTTTTTTATATTACGTGGTAAAGTTGCAAATTCTCCCATTTAAACAATGTAAATTTATACTTTTTGTCATAGTTCGTTTGAGCGTTCTACCGGGCCGATTTCCATGATTCTTGCGTAAATCGACAGGTAATAGGCCCTAGATGAGCCCGCTGTAATCAGATTTTGGAAAAAGGACCCACGTTTTTTTAAAATCACGTTATAAAAGTGAGTGAGTTTATAGAATGCTCCGGTACTGCTACCGCTATGCGCGGGAGGGTGCGCAGTGGTCGAGGAGGTTGCGCAGTAGCTGTGTAGCCTGCGCATCAGCTCTACACTTATCTACACCAGATTCGCGCCGAAGAATCTCACGTCGAGCGGTGGCCGAGCGGTCTAAGACGTCGACTGTGTGCATATTGTATTCGATACGGGTTCGATCCCCAATTCGTAATATTTTAATTATTACCTGATTATCATTGTTCATTGTCTTACTGCAATATTTCATCAAGCAGTTATTCGAAAACGCGTCCTTTTAATTTTAAAGTAATTTTAAGTAAAGTTTAAAATTAAAGTATACCTCATATCGTAATTTTTTAGGGGGAAAAATAAACCTAACACTGATTGGAGGGTAAAAATAGGGCCGCGAAGCGGCGCATTGATGGCGCGGAGCGCCTTCAGGGGGTTGGGCCGCGTAGCGGCCAGGGGGCGTAGCCCCCTAGTAGCTCATACTGGCGATGACGAGTCGCGCAGCAGCAGCACGAGCTCACGTTAATCAAACACTGGAATTACACACGGTGCATTGTGCGATGTTGCTAGATCTACTATATTTTAAGGATAAATGCACAAATGAGGAAAACTATGATAAATTGGAGTCATATTTATGGAAGGCGTTATTATTTCCGCTGTCCAGCTGTAGAGAGAGAGAAACTCAAGTGTACTGAAGTCCAATAATGTACTGTTTCGGGTAAAAATAAACTCGGAAAATTGTTATCACCTGAAGATTAGTCGGGATATTTTATGAATATGGTGTTAAACGAAGTTAATTACCCTGAAATATCTTGAATAAGATCTTCAATAAGCCCTCTTTAACTTGAGATTTCGATATTTTTGAGGCAAAATGGATGAATTTGGCGCCAATAGGGAGTAGCCATTTTCCAAAAGGTTTTGTCGATAATCAAAGTCCAAATTCTGGCAAAGCTATGATTTTCCCGAAAATTGGTGGAGGGGCGGGGCAGGTGAGGGTCGTTCCTCCAATTCAGGAAACTTTTGATGAAACTTATCGGGAGAAAATAACTCAATCTTGCACAGAACTCTATCCCTCAGTTTTGACACCAACTTTCAAAAACATGAAACCATGCGTCGATGGCCAAAATGCGAAACCTCGTATCTCCAGTGCGGCATCACAAATTGTCTGCTTTCATTTTATTTTTTCAAGCAGAAACATCCCACATTTATTGGTTCGATAGAAGAAAAATCAGAAAGTTATCAAGAAATAACGTTTTATAGTTTTCCACAGAAAAAATAAAGTGTGGCAGGAAGTCTACATCGTCGCAAACGGAGATACTTGGTTTCGCACTTTAGCTATCGATGTCTAAGAACCCCTCGACTCCAGAATGTCACTTTTTCCGACATGTCTTAAACTTTGTACCAATGCACTTACTTTTCCCCAATTTATAAGAATTAAGTTGAATTTTTACCCTCATCTCTTGCGCAATTAATAATTATCTCCCTTTGAAATTCTGGCCACGCCACAGTAGACTATAATATAAACAGATTCTCTCCCGCATCGCGAAGTTTCATTATTCCAGCTCCACGAGATCAATAAGACAAGATTCTTAGTCCTAAGCAACTTTCACTTAGACATCATGTATAGAAATTTTCAAAGAGTGGCTGACAAAAATTGACGCATAACACGCAAACTAATAATACTTTTTGCAGAAAAAACTTGTACAGAAATAACGTATAATTTAGGAATGCACGCTGGCCCATTGAAATGAAGTTACATGTTTATGACCGAACCGTCCCATATTATGTGGCCGCATATTAGATAATCGCATCACTTTGAGTAAACTGTGTTTTCATACGAACGGGCAGTTTGGCAGTACTGCTAATTTACCCATGTTCACCGCAAGTGGTGCCGCGTGGAGGCTTGCGGCATCGTTTTCCGAGAGGCTGTCAAATGTGTCACTTATTTTCTCCATCCATTGACCAACATTGCTTGATAAAGTAACGTTTCAATGAATCATACTATGAAAACTTAATCAAACAAAAAAAAAAAACTCAAACCTGAAAACCCAAGTAGGCAGAAATGACGGGAAACCCACATTTGCCCGAAAGTCTTAACAATACATGTCCAGCGGACCGATTATTGAATCTGATAGACAAAGCTATAGACAAAGACGACACAAGGGATTTGGAGGG